TCTTTAATTTACAAAGAGCGCCTGCCCTTTTAGCCTGCAACTCTAGCTTTTTTCACAATAACATTACAAAGCATCTTAATGTTGAGTAGCATACTCATATTTCACCTTTATGGCTTGCATTGTTCAAAATGCAGTTATGAAAAGTATGCTTTTAATAAAGTCACTTCAGAGTTGTTTTTTTTTCTTCTGCGGCAGCTACAAGCCATATATATATTATTCAGGACTAGCTTGCCTTTGGACCTTCTCCCCCGAGGTAGAAATTCATTTCACCCAGCTGTAAATCAGGCTCGGAGCTACCTTTCATCCAGAGAAGCAGATAAAACATACTTGATAACCCTGGTGTTAGAATACCATAGCAGGAAAATAATTTTCTCTGCGGAGTACAAAGGGGAAGCGTTTCTGTAACCTGTGTGTGGGTGCGCGTGTGTGTTCTACAGCTGCAGGTAAACCTTCCTTTTGATTAGAAATATCACGGCTCCCTTCCCCAGAGTGGAGCAGAGGTGGCGTGATTAACTGGCCTGTGTAAACGCTAAAGGGTAGCCAAGAGGCCAGGCCATTTTTCAATCCAGAGAAGAAGTGGTGCTTGATCACATTTGCATAGAGCCTCTAACAAGATTCCGCTGGCCCCGGTCAGAAAGATTGAGTAGGGATGCTATTTCCAGGACAAGCCGGTCCCCCCAGCAAATAGGCATTTTAAACTGCGATCCACCTTTCTAAGCAGCCAAGGACAAGCAATATTTTCTGTTGGGAAAGCCTTCATTGTGACTGATACACGGAATGCATTTGTAGGCAAACTGTTGGGAGCTCCAGCCCAGCTGAGTAGCTCGGAACCCGCCACTTAACGTCCCTGGGCCTTGCTATCCACATCTGGGCAGTGAAAATAGGCTTGTTCTCTGACAAACACCTCGGTTCTGAATTCCTCTGTAATTCCCAGTTCTTTCTGAGTAGTTTTGCCTGGAGGAGCCGCCTTCTTTGTTTCATCTGGTTAATATGTGACCTGTGGTTGGTTGGTTGGTTGGTTGGTTATTGGTTGGTTTTTTCTTTTCAATCTCCACCTGTGGTGCCAGCAGCAGGGTGTGGCCCAGCATGGGCCTCAGCACCGAGGGCCAAAGCTAAAGCTGTTTACCCCCTGGCCAAACCATGGAGTGAGGAAGCTGACACAATGTCCATGTGACGGGCCAGGGCCATGCAACTGAGCAGATCAGCCGCCATCCGACTGTTCTTCAGAGTCCGGGCCCTTGGACAGCGTGGGGTGGTGGATGTGTAAGTGTGGCCCAAACATTTCACTCCAGACTGGGTTTGACCAAAACAGAAACGGCCAAGGTTTGGAGTGATAAAGCATTTTATCATTATTTTAAGTGAATTTTTACCTTAAATAACTGTGAGCTAAGCCATCTTTCCCCCATTTTACTGGAGAATTTACAGGCATAAAGGGGGTCAAATATGATTTGGTGAGAGACCAAGAGCTTAATGATGTTCACAGCAAAGGAACACATTTAGCAGCTCCAGACTTATCCTCCGTTTCTAGGTTGATTCCACAAAGATAGCGCCCTTTTGGCTTGAAGGATGGATTATGTATAACCAGAGGTTAGCAAGTAGGTGCACGCAGCACTTAGCTTTTTACTGTAAAGTACAGAGCTTGGGAAATGCAACACTCCATTGAAGGGCATGCTCCCTTTTACTTCCTAATGGTCTCTAAGAGATGAGTAAGACTTCCATTAAAATATCGGGACAAAGAAAAGCTGTAGATGAATAAATGCAGCAAGATCTTGGTAATTGTTGAATCCGGGTGATGAGTGTAGGGTTCCTGGTACTCTCCTCTCTACTTGTGTTTGTTTGAAATTTTTCATAATAAAAACATAAACAAATGGCCATCTTTTCCTTAAAAACAATAAAGCAAATCTCAAAGCAAGTGTTTACTGAGTGTCTACAGCAACGGTTGCCAACCGGTGGTGCTAGGACCACTGGTGGTCCGTGAGGCCCGAAAGGTTGGTGACCGCTGGTCTACAGTATCTGGAGTACTTAAAGCTGGTGAGGGAGGGAGAACAGCCTTCGTAAGTAAGCTCCTAATCTGCTTTAAAAATGGAAGTTTATATGTACCCTTCCCTGCTGGTAGACAATAACAAATTCCATCTTTGCCTATGATCTAGGCTGGTGAGTTTTAAACAGTCTTTTTTCTTTTAAAACATGAAGTCGTATGTTCAGCAAACTCTTCAAAAGAAACCCAATATGTCAAATAAGTAGAATGGAGCTGCAGTGGCGGAGGGATATGTGTGTGTGTGTGTGTGTGTGTGTGTGTGTACATGAATGCATATTGGAGAGTTGCAGCTCAGGCATGACCCTGCCTGCGACCTCCCCCTGCCACCAGGGCTCCCCAACAATTGACTGAGCTGCCCAAACTGGCCGGGTGTAAGACAACTCTTGTTTCCTGCTTAGGCAGAGAAATGGGGCCTGCCCTGCCCTGTGTCTCCGGTCCTGACTGCTTGGCCTTGTTAAAGAAATGAATGAGTCTGGCTGAGCACATCCGGACCTCCACCCCTCCCTTTGCCAACAGATATTGATTTCGCCACCCGCAAGATCGCAGTCCGCCTGACTCAGACCAAGATCATTCAGCAGGACGGCGATAACTTCAAGACGAAAACCAACAGCACGTTCCGCAACTACGACCTGGATTTCACCGTTGGAGTGGAGTTTGAGGAGCACACCAAGGGCCTGGACAACCGGACTGTGAAGGTACCCAGCTGGCCGGGCGGTTGTCATGTGCACACTCTGGAGGGGCTGGCTATTTGGCTTCACAAAGGGAAAATGACAGCAACAACCTGGAAGGGGGACCAGGATGGACTTAATGATGCCGGCGCTAAGCAACATTATCTTAGGGAGGAAGGGGCAAGCTAGCTTCTGCACTAAGCTTACAAGCAAAGGAGTGATTGGAGGGTGCGGCCCCTGCAGGGTCTGGCATGGGCTGGCGGGCAACGAGAAGAGGGCCCGGTGGGATGTCGTAGGGAGGACTCCGCCCTGTGAGCTGAGCAGGGTAGCTTCCTGGGGCGAGGGGGGGCGGGGGCCAGCCTGCTCAGCACCAGCCACACATTGCCACGAGGGACTGATGCCTCATGTTCACAGATTTTTTTTCCCAAGAGATGTTGAGAATTCGTAGGTTTTCATAAGAAATATCTCCATTTTAGGTGAGCCCCACTGGTTTATTTTTTAAAGAAGAATGAAGTGCATAGCAAACAAAACACTCAGTGCACTGAGTGAAGTCAGGGTTCTCCCGTCCCAGGAACTTCCAGAATTCTCGGGCAAGTCTCTGGCTTTGGGTCAGCGTCACCCTAGCTCCCAGGACCTAATGGAGCAAATCCCCAGGCTTCCGAAGGCCAGACTGCCAGGTGCTTGAGTGGCGTGGGTATAGGGAGGATTCTGAAAGCCAGCAGCCCTGAGTTCACGTGTTATCTCCAAGCCCAGGAGCTGGAGTGCAGAGGAGGCCGGCCCTCACCCAGAGGAGCGGTTTGTAAATAAGGCAGAGAGTGGAAGCAGCAGGGGGCAGTGGGTGGAGGTGGGGAAGGCAGGGGTAACAGCCGGTCCCCTCTCCTCCAGAATCACCATGTGGTATCAGGGCCTGGTGAGCAATTGTCGCAGTGTTCACACTCACACTCCGTGCGCCTGCCTTTGGTTTTCCAAATCCAGTTACACCTGGTCAGTCCCCATGCGTAGGAATGGGGAGAGAGTTAATCTCAGTCCAATTGAAGGATTCTCCCACCCCAACCTTTGCATCATATAAGGACCCCAGGGGTCACACAGTCCAGGAAAGGGTTTCTGGTTGGTCATTTGGAACGACTGCCATTGGCTGCTCACTGTCCGTGCCCGTGTAGTTTGCATGAGGGTGGGCAGCTTGAATATTCATAGCACCCACCCCATTTGTGCCAATGCAGCCACCGGGACCTCTGCCCTGGCTCCCACGCTGGGGAGGTGAGCTGGGTATCCTATCCCCAGGTACCCATGTTATCACCCCCAGCAGAGGCCAGCCCCTCACAGTGCCAGGACCCTCCACCCTGCCCTTCCTCATTCGCCAGGCACCCCACTCTCCCCGGAGTCCCCCTTCTCTCCTGCTTCCAGAAGCTCTTTCAAAAGTTGGAGGTCTCAGCGCTTCCCCAAGTCAAGGGCCATGAGCGCTGTCACCTCCCTGGGATTGGAAGGGAAGGTTGTCATCCTTCTTTGCTACTGACGTCCAAGCCACGAGAGCGGGGCCCGTTTTATTTCTCACGCCGTCCTGCGGCACTGTCCTCTCAGCCATCACGTCGAGGCTGAATTATATTCAGTGCCCTCGCTAAAGAAGTCGGAAATGAAAAGCACTTTGGAGATGCTTCCGTCAGAGCGGACCTGGCATGAGAGCCTCAGCGTCCGCGCCCTGGGACGGCCCCTGCGAAGCCCCACCCGAGAGGCTGAGGGATCCACAGGGCTTTTCTGAACTGCGTGGCTGGAGGGCCCATGCATCAGACACCAGAATTCACAGGAAAATTGGTGCAGAATTTCAGTTGAAAATGATTCATTTCCCCCAGTCTTTGCGTTTTGGTTGAGAAAGAGACCTGTTCTCTCTGACTAGTTCTTGCATCACCATGGATGGCGGAGAACGCCCTCTTCCTGAAATGAATGGTGTCCTTTCAGCCCTTTCTGACTCAAATGATTCCCTGCGTTAACACCCACTTTCCTTCTGCCTCTCCGCTTCCCTCAGACCCCGCTCTCCCCAGGATCAGCTCTTAGCCCTGCAGGGATAGGGAGAGGGAGAGGGAGAGGGAATATGAATCCCCTTTTCTACTTTTTGTCTCTGCTTGCCCACAGCAAACAGTTGGGGCTAACTCACTCACTCTCTCTCTCTCTCTCTCTCTCTCTCTCTCTCTCTCTCTCTCTCTCTCTGGCTCTGGCTCTCCCTCTCCAGTGGGGACTGAGAAGTACCCAGGACAGACTTTGCCCAGTCTCCCGCAATGGGCTGTTCCCAAGAGAATCAGCACAGAGCAGGTGCCCTGGGCACTACCTCCTTCCTGTGACTTCACTGGAACCCTTCAGCCTGAAGGGGCGACAGGGGGTGGGTGAGCCAATCAGCCACCGAGGAGGGTGCCCACCCCTCTGCAGTGTGTTATCACTCTTTTATCTTTGACTGTGAGATGAATTGTATCAAAAAAGCCTTCATTTGCATTTCTCTTATCATGAGTGAAGTCCATTGTCTTTTCTTAGGTTTGAAAGCCATCTGCTAGGGTTGTGTTTTACTTTCCTTGTGTCACGGGGGAGAGGGGGGGGGGACCATTTTTCTGCCCAGGGCCATCTGGATATTTATAACATCATCCGAGGGCCGTACAAAGTTATCGACTTAAAAACTAGCCTGCTCTATTTGGTCAAACATTTAATTAACTCACTCCTAATGCCTTGGCAGGGCCAGCCCAAATGACGTTCCCCACCCCAAATGTAAGCTGTGGGTTGGCGTCTTCAGTTGGATTTCCTATTAGGTTAATGATCTTTTTCTTACTGGTTTATGGGAGCGCCTTATATAGAAGGGACGCAGGTCTTTTGTCTGACGTTACTTCCCAGTTTGTTATTCATCTGCAGATTCTGAGGTGTTTTCCCTTCCAGAAATGTTACATCGCGAGACAGTCACATTTATCATCTTTCCCCCTCCTGACTTGGAATGCTATCTGTCCCATAGGATAAAATGGAAGAGTAGAATTCCTTAAAAGAGGACAGACCCAGCCTCAGCCAGCCGGTTTGGCTAGAATGGCAGGTGTGTGTGGAGATGAGCCTGGAAGGTCTCGGCCGAGGCTGAGGGCTCTGCCCGGCGGCCAGGCGGGAGCCCGGGCACAGCGTCGGGACTGCAGCCGCAGGTTGATGTTCGTCTGGTCCCAGTCAAGGCCACGCAGTTGATTTGCTGGAACTTGTCGTTGCAGTCGCTGATCACCTGGGAAGGCAATGTCCTCGTGTGTGTGCAGAAGGGGGAGAAGGAGAACCGCGGCTGGAGGCAGTGGGTTGAAGGGGACAAGCTGTACCTGGTAAGTCCCGGGTCTGCCCAGCTCCCTGCCTCTGTGCTCACACGAGCTGCCTGTTCATTCAGCCAGGCACCTTGACAAGAAAAATGGCCCTGCACTCCCCCCCTGAGCTCCAGCCAAATGTGTGTGGTCATAGAGTCAGAAAGCCATTCCTGTCTGGCTCAGGGGTCTCCAGGAAGAAATCTATATGGCCGTTTCTGTGATGGCTGCCGTTAAAATGAAAGTTCAAAATGCTGAGTGAGGGAGCTGAGATCCATGGAGAAATGCAGGGAACCTGTAAAGAGCAGCTGGAGAGACATGTGATGTCCCCAGAGAGGGTGGGCCCAGGCCTCCAGCAGCTATGTGAGCTTGGAAAAGAGAGGTTGGGGTGCAGGTGGAACGGACGGGGGCAGCAGAGCCCATGAACTGCTTGTAGACCACATAAGCTGTGTCCCCCGGATGCCAAACTATTTTAGGTTATTCAGTACTAAAGCAGTGCAGGAGGTACCATGGCTGATATCCTTGAATTATATCTGTGTAGGTAGCTTACTTTTTTATTCTTCAATCTTCAAGGCAATGTATGGGTCAAACATTCAAACAGCGAAAAATTCTTCACTCCTTCATGCATTCAGTCATTCATTTGTTAAATAAATGGCTCATTCAACTAATGGCACATCGTTCATTCATTTATCTGTGGAGTCAGGCAGGTGCCTGGCCCCAGTGTCAGTATTCAGGTCACCATGTGCCCTTCAGACCAGCCTTGCCTCCCCTGGGATCTTTATTCCAGAGGCAATGTCAGCTGATGAATGACCAATGGGAGGCATGCACTGTTTTCCATGGAAGGTTTTCCCTACCTGCTCCGGTTTGGATGATGGATCATTTTAATTGTAGTGCAGTACCCAATGGTCCCTGTGGTGAAGACAATGGATTCATCGTCAACTGTGATGATTTCCTGGTGCTCCCCACACTCGTGTTTTTCTCTCCTCCCTTAAAGGGTCATGAGTTACGGATAAGGGTTGAGGGCTCCCTCTATCTCAGTGGTTCTCAACCTTCTGGCCCTTTAAATACAGTTCCTCATGTTGTGACCCAACCATAAAATTATTTTCGTTGCTACTTCATGAACTGCTTTTAGGCCACATAAGCTGTGTTATGAATCATAATGTAAATATCTGATATGCAGGATGGTCTTAGGCGACCCCTGTGAAAGGGTCATTCGACCCCCAAAGGGTCGCGACCCACAGGTTGAGAACCGCTGCTCTATCTGGATGAAAAACAGCATCTTATCTGCAGCCCACACCCTTTCATTGCCTGGGCCAAGACCAACCAACGTTCTGATCTCCCAAGGCCAGAAAGCCCACATGGCTGAGCCACACGGGTCACCAGCAGGCATCTTCCTAGGCCCTTGCCTTCCGAATGCTTCTCCCCACTAGAGCCTTCTCTCCTTCATGGCTTTGCTGCCTTTTACAAATTAGGTGATGTTGCTTTAATCATGAAAGTAGGAGAAATCCTGCCCAAGAGGGTAATTTCTTCAAATTTTTCGTTCTTATAGTTGCTCAAGCTCAATTCAAGGGTCAGAATCAAATCAGGGCATGTCAGCTGATTGGATCCATGAGATGCACTTTGCCCAGAATACGTGTCCTCTTTGTTACAGTCGCTCCCCCCCCCCCCCCCACCTCCCACCCAAATCACAGACAACACGAAGGCCAGGGGCCGGGCAGAAGAAAGACCCAGCTTGTTCACCACTCACCCACTTTCTGATGTTGCAGGATCTGACATGCGGTGACCAGGTGTGCCATCAAGTGTTCAAAAAGAAGTGATGGCCATGAGGGGCCTGCTCCACACTCCCAGTGAAGGGTTCTTCACCGGCTTTGAGACGAAGCCGTGGGGACCCTCCCACTCCTGACAGAGCCTGTTAAGACATCTGGATGGGTTTTACACGGAACGAATGTGTACCAGTGACAAACATATTCTCCCTTCGTTGAAACCTGGCATTAAATGAAAAAACAAAACTCACTCCCATACTTTGAAATCCTTTGTCTCTCTCTCCCTGTATTTGTAGAACTGTCAGTTTTATCCCCAAGCAGAACAGGTGACTGCCTGCCTGTGGTTTTCTGTGTGGCTCTGTTGTTGTTTATATTTTAGTTTAGCCTGTTGGTTGGTTTTCTGTTAGTTCATTTGTTTGGCGGGGGAGGGTGTTTGTTTTATCTGGAAATGTTCTCTGGCCAACATAGTATCTCCTCCTAATCCTTGAACATTGCCTATTTGAGATTCATTCCTTTAGATAGCACATTTGTTTCTCCAAGATTCTATTTTAAGATGCATATGCCTTCTAGTTTGTACTTTGCCTGAGCAGCCATGACAGGGGCCTCCCGGAAAGCTGTGCTCCCCCACAGCCACGCATGTTCCTGCAGCAAGAAAGCCAGGGAAGCACCAGGCTGGGGCCTCATGCTGGCTGGGGACCTGGGGAGGTTGGGGGATCTTCCCGTGGGCTCTGGGGAAGAGAGGAGCCTCCTGAGGAGGTGCAGCCCATCCCCTGTGGCAGAGCAGGAACCCAGTGGACGGGCTGCTGAGGTGGGGCCTTTGTCCCCAGCTTCCCTGGAGCTTCTCCGGGTGCCCAGGTCCCCCTGTTGGTGCCCCCGGTCTTGCCCACCACAATCTCAAATGACCCTCCCCTTTGTCCCTGGAGAAAACCTTATTGAATGAAATCGTCTGAAAGCTCATTGGGGACCAGCTATAAAGTATTCCACACATGTAGGGGGTTGTATTCACTACTGATTTTTGACCCTAGGGTTTACAAACGTACTCTAGGGTCTGCTAGCCCCCCAAGATTCTGTGACAAGATTCATGGTCAAATAAACCTCAGGAGTGCTGAGAGCATATCCCCTCCTTAGACATTCACAGTAAGAATTGGTGTCTCCATGGCTGTGCACAGACCTGCAGCAAGCCCAGCCTTGAGCCCTGGGCCCCTTCACCCTGAAGCATTTCACGCCCGCGGGTGTTTTGAGAACACGGAGCTCATGCCTTACACGTGCACAGCACTTCTTCAATTACAGAGAACAAACAATGTCATTTAAAACTCCAGTTTCCCACAGGGGATTTTCTCTGTGTATTTTTCCACAAATGAAGAGAAACGGAATGGGTTCGTTTACATACAGCGTGAAAGGCCGATGGTGGCTGTATTCATTCTGCTGACCATTCTTTTTCAACAAAGATGCATCTGAACCTAGAAGCGGTCCAATCTGAGGTACCTGTTTCAAAGCCGGGGCCGATGTGTGGGGCCAGGCCTGCCTTCCAGCCTGCGCTCCCTGTGGCTGAGAGAGGACAGGTTGCCTGCCTCCTATTTCTGTTCCCTCAGCCAATTTCAAAACCAAACCATGACAGGAGTGCTCCCCCCGGGCACTGACAAGGCTGGTGGGGACAGAGTGAAAGTGGTCAACCTTTAAAACCCACTGAGGCCCTGGCCAGAGCTGCTGAATGGTCAGAGCACCTGCCCTCTCACCAAAGGGTCTCGGTTCCATTCCCCGTCAAGGGCACTTGAAGGAGCCCTGCTCTAGGCCATGTTGCATGAAGTTCACACGGGAGGTGGGTCGATAACTATGGGTGTGAGCTTGGGGGAGAGGGAGAAGAATGATACTCCACATGGCTTAGCGGTGGGAAGGGGAAGGGGGTGCGGAGGGATCTGGGTTAGGCCTAGCACCCCAGGCAACAGAGCAACAATTGCAAAGGCCACATGCCCTCTCCCCATCACCCACGTCACCCTCCAGTGGCTAAATGTCACCCCCTTCGTGTTCCCTCCCCTGGCTGGGCTGGGGAGGAAGGAGCAGCCAGGCCTCCACAGACATTTTTGAGGCCAGGAAGCGATGATGTCATCAGGGGTGAGGGGAGGAGGAGAGGGAAAAGTGAAGGAGAAGAGAAAAGAGGAGGAGAAAGGAGGGGAGAGGGAGAAAGAAAAGAAGAGTAGGAGAAGGAAAGGGCGGAGCAGGAGGAAAGGATGGAAGGGGTAGGAAGGAGGGGAGGGAAGAGGAGAGACGGGAAGAACCCACACTCACTGTGAGTAAATGCAGAGAAAGGCACTATCCAGGCGAACCAGGCTGTACAGACCGCAGCCAGAGCAGCAGCAGCTGAGGCTCGCCCAGGGGCTTTCTCTACTTTGAACCCCTCTCCCCCAGAGCACAGGCAGGTTCCTTTAAATGACTAGCAGGTCAGCACAGAGCAACTAGGCTTTCAGGCGCTCTAGAGGTTTGGCCTAGGTCCTTACAGGGTGGTCCAGGTTAGGCTCTTTGTGGAGCATTGTTTCTGTCCTGGAGCTCTTTCTAGGGCTATGACAGAGGAGCCCATTTTACAGATGAGGAAGCTGAGGCTCAGACCAGGTCCAACATTCACCCTGAACCCACAGCTGGGTCTGTCTCCAGACTCTGAGACCCTCCGCGAAGGAGGGGGCCTGGGCAGGAACAGGGTGGCCCTCCAGACCTACCCTAGACCCGTGGTCGGCAAACTGCGGCTCCCGGGCCACATGCGGCTCTTTGGCCCCTTGAGTGTGGCTCTTCCTAAGCCTTAGGAGTACCCTAATTAAGTTAATCACAATGTACCTACCTATATAGTTTAAGTTTAAAAAATTTGGCTCTCAAAAGAAATTTCAACTGTTGTACTGTTGATATTTGGCTCTGTTGACTAATGAGTTTGCTGACCACTGCCCTAGAAGGTCCCAGAGCCCCAGGCGTTCAGGAGACCACCAATGCCATGCCTGCCCAGGCATCTGTCATCAGCCTGTGTTTTTCTTAAATCAGCATTCCCCGTGAGTCTCCTTCAAGACTAATTCGACTGCAGGCAGGACCTATTGAGAGTGACTCATTTGCGGTCCCCAGCCGGGGGGTTAGGTCCTGCCTCTGGGCCGAGCCTGCCAGGACTGACGACAGAGCTGGCCTCCCGGAGCCGACCCTTCCACTTGAACCGGCTCTTTATACTCGTGATCTGTGACCGATGAGAAGGGCAGAGGTGGGGTATTTAATTTTGGCTCACTGATTACACTGGTTATGTAGATGGATCCAATTAGAAGCTGGGGCTTGAGAAAACGAATCAGCAATGACCCAGACAGAATCTTCAAGAGCTTTAAAGATTTGGTTGTAGGTTTTCCGGGGCTGGCCCTCACTTGAGTTGCTCCTCATGCTTCTAGATTGTTCTGGAAAGTGAGGGGAGACCAAGGAGAAGGCCTGGAAAAGATGGGCAAAATCCGCCTTTTCTGGAATATTCTATCAGGAAATGCACCCAGCCCATAGGAGCGCAGTGAGCTCCTTCCGTGGTCAGAGGCTGGAGACACGGAGGCGCCCACAGGCTCCTGTCAGGGAAACAGCCATGCGAGGCCGTCCACGTGGAGGGACTTCAGAGCAGGAAAGTGCTCACACAGACGGAAAAGCTTAGAAGCCGCTCAGAGCTTAGCCACAGCAGGAGGCTGCCAGGACCACCCATGGGGCACAGAGGATGCAGGAGGAAGGTGGTGTGGTCAGAGCCTCAGCCAGGCAGGGCTGGACCATGGTGACCAGAGGAGACACAGCCACCGCCAAACAAATACCCCCACACAGAGGAGGGAGGGCTCGGTGAACACCCTGGCTCCTCCTTTCTTTCCACTGTCCAATCTCCCATCAGTGCTCCCACTGGTAGATAGATACTCGCCAAAGCCTGCTGCCCGTGAACCTGGGAAATGTCGTTCCCCACAGGGCCAGCGAGCAGGACAGGGAGGGGAGTGTCTGATGGCAAACGGGCACCGAGGGGCACTCAGGGGAGGGAGCCCAGCCCTGGCCCTCCAGGAGCTCCCAGTCTGACTCAGGTCTGGACAAGGATGCCCGCCGGCACCAGCACTGTCACCTGACCTCAGTGGGATACAGAGAATATGACTGGGAGGGGCTGTCTCCAGGGTAAAGGGCAGAGGAAGAGGGGGTCGTCATGAACTGGCCCCTCCTTGTGCCACACAGTACACCGGTGCTTTCCATACACAGCCTTGCACGGCACTGCCATCCCCACTTCTCAGGAGAGAACGAGGCTCGGCAGGCAGAGAGGGAAACGTGCCCGGGTTCGCACACAGCCTCACGGAGCCCCAGCTCTTGTTGGCGTTGCCAGCGCAAGCGACTGCCTTAGTCCAGCCACCCATCCATCGTTGGGCAAACGCGACCTTTCCAATTGCAGACAAACCTCAATCCCAATCTTCAAGGACAGTGAAGTTAATAAAAGAAAGCACTTATCGAATTAGAACCAAACAGACTAGCTAATTACTTTGAACTCCTATTAAGTCTTTACAAGCCCAATGGAAATGTTTTCTTTTATTACAGTTCATTGTTTTAAGCTTAAAAAGCAATGAAGACCTCTCTAAAACTTCTGCAGAGCCCAGATCCTTGGCGAACCACAGTCCGGCAGGCTAGACCCCGGGAGAGATGGTCTCAGCGGCCGGTGGCCGGGTGTGCTTAAGTGGGAGTGTGTGGCGCCTGCCTTTGCTGTGGGTTTCACGCTGGCAATGATATGATGAGTTGTGACGTGGTGTTAACGTCCTCCTGGATCACAGATTCCACAAGGACAGAGGTGGCTGTAGTGTGTGGCCTGCTCTCCAGAGCATCTGACGCCGGCTGGTGCCTCTCTCCTCGGCCCGTCTGCGCCACAGACACAGTCAGCCTGGCATTTATTGGGTACACATTGGTGTCAGTGCCTGTGACAGATGCCCAACGTTCTCTCCATCAACCTACTCATCCAAGAGGCATGTATTGATCATCGACTATGAACCAGCGGCCAGGCACGGAGGAGGCGGTGGTAAGCAAAGCGGGTATGTTCCCTCTCCTCACAAATGTTGTTCCTAAGCCTCACAGCCTTGCAAGGCAGGGATCATTCTCCTCATCTTATACATCAGCCTCCAAAAGGGTGAGGAGGATTCTAAAAGCACATTCCTAAGAAGAGGCAGGGCCAGGCCCCTGGGGATTTTCCCCTGCCGACCCTCGCCC